CAAATCTTAACATAACACCACCTCACACACACACAAAGCCTCACCGTCTCTCTCTAAAACCCTCCTATCATGCCGATCTCCCTCCCTCCCTCCGATCTCCATCACTGGCTCTCGTTTGTGTTTGCACTGCTCGCTCCTCCCTCACCGCCGACGTCGCTCCTCCTTCATCGGCGATATGTGTTTCTCTCTCTCTCTCTCTGGTCTCTCTCTTCTTCATCCCTTTTTTTAGATACCATTTGATTTTTTATCTTTTATTTTTGTTCTCACTTCATCCCTTGGTTTTTAAGGTATATATGTTGCGATTTGCTTGATTTTGTTTCGGATCTATGTATTTTGGCAAGTCTTGGAGGGATTTTTGGCCATAACGAAGAAGAATCTAAATCAGAGTCAATCATGGGTTCAAGAGCTGTTGTTGTTGTTCCAAATCAACAACCTAGAGGTATGTTTCATTGATTTTCTTTTGTTTGATTCTTTCTGTGTGATGTTCATCTCTCATCTTTTGGGGGTTTTGTTAATAATGATTGATTTATTAATAATAATCCTTGTGCTTTTGAATTTGTGTGATTCGTGTTTCGGTGATTCTTCCCCTTATTGCTGCTTTTTTTTTTTTTTGGGCCAGGAAATTTTCAAGGTCGGGGGCGGTGATAGGTTTCCCGTCGAGGATCAGGGCCAGGGAGGGGGGAATTTTCATCATCGGGGATCGAGGATGGGGAGTGTGATCCCTAGACCCGCCCAGGCCCATTGTCATCCCTAAAAGCAGAGTATAGATCTTTGGCTCATACTGCTGCAGAGCTTACTTGGATTGGCATGTTATTTCATGATTTTTGTAATATGCCTCCTACAGTTACTCCTTTCTGGTGTGACAATGTCTCTACCATAGCTTTAGCATCTAATCTCGTCTTTCACTCCCGGTCTAAACATATTGAAGTCGATTGTCATTTTGTTCGCAATCAAGACCTTGCTAAAAAGTTTGTGTTACACTATATTCCCACCATTGATTAGTTAGCAGATATTTTTACTAAGCCTTTGTCAGTCTCCAATTTCTCCTATCATCAGCTTGAGGGGGAATGTTGAGGATTATAGCTCAGCCAGCTCAAGTAGCTCAGGCTCAGGTTGCAGTTCAACTAATTCACCAGCTCAGTCGAAAACTTAGAGTTGGTTGCACAGTTAGGAAGTTAGTTACAGGTTTGTTAAGATAGTTTGTTAGTCTTGGAGGGATTTTTGGGGCCATAACGAAGAAGAATCTAAATCAGAGTCAATCATGGGTTCAAGAGCTGTTGTTGTTGTTCCAAATCAACAACCTAGAGGTATGTTTCATTGATTTTCTTTTGTTTGATTCTTTCTGTGTGATGTTCATCTCTCATCTTTTGTGGGTTTTGTTAATAATGGTTGATTTATTAATAATAATCCTTGTGCTTTTGAATTTGGGTGATTCGTGTTTCGGTGATTTTTCCCCTTATTGCTGTTTTTTTTTTTTTTTTTTCCAGGAAATTTTCAAGGTCGGGGGCGGTGATAGGTTTCCCGTCGAGGATCAGGGTCAGGGACAGGGGAATTTTCATCATCGGGGATCGGGGATGGGGAGTGTGATCCCCAGACCCGCCCAGGCCCATTGTCATCCCTAAAAGCAGAGTATAGATCTTTGGCTCATACTGCTGCAGAGCTTACTTGGATTGGCATGTTATTTCATGATTTTTGTAATATGCCTCCTACAGTTACTCTTTTCTGGTGTGACAATGTCTCTACCATAGCTTTAGCATCTAATCTCGTCTTTCACTCCCGGTCTAAACATATTGAAGTCGATTGTCATTTTGTTCGCAATCAAGACCTTGCTAAAAAGTTTGTGTTACACTATATTCCCACCATTGATTAGTTAGCAGATATTTTTACTAAGCCTTTGTCAGTCTCCAATTTCTCCTATCATCAGCTTGAGGGGGAATGTTGAGGATTATAGCTCAGCTAGCTCAAGTAGCTCAGGCTCAGGTTGCAGTTCAACTAATTCACCAGCTCAGTCGAAAGCTTAGAGTTGGTTACATAGTTAGGAAGTTAGTTACAGGTTTGTTAAGATAGTTTGTTAGTTTGTTATTCCTTTGTATATAAATATGGCAGATATATACTTCAACGGAGGTGTGAATAAAGAATGAGTTGATTACAATTTTTCTATATGGTATCACCCCAACTAGGCTATGACAATTGCTAGCACATGAATTTTTTTTTCATTTTTTGATCGGCAAAAAAATTTATTGGTGCAAAGAAGTGGTATAGGTTAGTGACCAAAATACATCAAAAAGGAAAGAAGAGATGGTGATAGGACAGCATCATAGTTAGAGTAACATATCCCTTCTAAGTTGGCACATGAAAGCTAGCAAAATCATATGCAATCACTAAAGCAACACTCATGAAATGTTGGTAAAAACCAACTTAGAAGAACAACAACAATAGCCCCTAATTGTTGTCTTTCTTCCTTTTGGCTCTTGGTTGGAACCTTTCCAACTTTGAGCTTTCGGTTTGTACTTGCATATGATTGAGCTTGCTTGCCCGTGCCAACCTAGTTGAGATGGGAGGTTTTGCTATGATGCTGGTTGCACTTACTCTTTGTTTTATTGATGTATTGCCTATGTTATGCTTTTCCATGGTTTATATCAATAAAAGTTTTCTTTTGTTCGCTGATAAAAAAAATAAAAATTAAAAAACCCTAAAAGCACTCTAAAAATATTGTAGATTAAGCTTGATTCTTGAAGCTAAAATAGGAGCCTAGAAGCCATAGAGAAATAACTTCATGTTTTGTGTTGCATGCACTCTGAGTTTGAAGGCTTAGAAGGTTAGTTAGAAGTGTACTGTTGTAGTTCATTTAATGTGTTCACATTATTAGGTTTAGCTATGAATATGTAATGCTTGTGTGAGTTTCAGAGTGTGGAGGTAGAAAAGAAATAAGAGTGAATAAAGAGAGTGAACTTGAGAGAGAAAGAGAGACTTTCTCTAATTGCAGTTGTTTTCTCTTTTTTTTAAAATTGCTGTGAGTAATATATAGCTAAGAGTCTGATCTCACCAACAAGGGAAAGGCTGTGGATATTGCGAACGAGATTACAGAGAAAGAGGTGATAGAGGCTCCAGTCGAGGAGCATAAGCCTCCAAACTCACAGTGCATGCAACAAAAAATATGAAGTTGTTTCTCCGCAGCGTCTAGGCTCCTGTTTCAACTCTAGAATCAAGCTTAATATACAACATGTGTTTACATTTCTACGATTATCTATATATAGTCATTGTAATCTAAGAGTTCAAGGTGTGGCAGTTTAGAAGAAATAATAAAGTGAGAGTGAGAGCTTGAGAAAGTGTGACTTTCTCCTTTGTGTTGTTTTGTGTATTTTCTGAATAAACTTGTGTTTGAGTTTAGCAAACCCAAATTCCTCTCATAGTGTGTTGTGAACTACCATAAGTAGTTCTAACAGTCTCCTCCAACCAACAAAAAACACTACCCAAATCTGCTATGCCAAAAAAAAAATCTGGTAAGAACAATCCTAAACACCATCCATAATATTCCTTCCCCATAGGAATGCAGACTGAGCATTATCAATGACAACAGGAATAGGAGACCCATGTGTGGAATGTCATGTTCATTGATTGAAAAGAACAGTGCTAGACTGCTAGTTTCCTTATATTTTTGCTTAAAGAGGATTTCCCTTTGTAGATTTTTTGGGGATTTGTATTTCCTTGGAGATACATGGGAGGATCATAGCATTTTTTTATGATTAGTATTTTTTGGCACCTTTTTGGCCTCTCACCAGCCTTGGTTTAGTGCTAGCATATGATTGACCTTACTTTTCGGTGCCAACCTAGTTGTGATTAGAGAGGTTCGCTATGATGCTCTACGCACTCAACTCTTTTTTATTGTTGTTTGTCTCAGTGTTTTCTTGTACACAATAAAATTTTTCTTTTTCTAATAAAAACAAAAAAAAAAACAAAAACTGATATACAAAGGTTATTACCATGAACTACATGCAAACTTAACAAAATTGGCACCAAAATGGTGATCAAGATTATCAATCCTAGTGCATGAAATGCTGCACAATGGGCATTGCTCAATAGTAATGCTGACAGTAATGAGCATTTAAGAAAAGATTAATTATGTTTAGATGTCTTAAATTCCTAAGAATCCTAATTGAACATAGGATGAGGTAGTGAAAAATATATATATAAATTTTTTAATTTAATGGAGTATATATAGCTTGATAAAGCCAAATGACAAATGCAACCGACCCCACTGAATTGAAACACAAGACTTAATTTAATTTGGTTTGACTTGTTTACTTTAATTTGGTTTGACTTGTTTACTCTATACCCTTTCTCACTCACTCAGGCACCAATTATTCAGAATTTAAGATGTAGTGGAGGTGACATGGGATGATACTAAAAAAATGTACAAAAGTACATAATGTAAATTTTCGAGATTTATAAAGCTTTAACAAAAACCAACTGTGATATTATCAACAAAATGGCAATGCACTTCCATGTTGTCTTCACTGTCACTGAGTTCAAAAGTCCTTACTTGTTAAGATAACCTTGATACATATTTTTATGTTGAACAAATATCAAGATGAGAAATGCTTATTCAAGTCTTCTATATAGGATTTTTGCAGCTTCGACACAATATAGAAAATATATATATATATAGATATAATTTTAAAAATCACTGGAAAAGTACATAAGTTGTTGTTGGTTGTTCTTGTTTGTGTGTTTGTGAGCTCGGATATTGAGATCAGGAAATGCCCTTGATCAACAAAAGACATCAAATCAAACATGTGAGAGAAGACCCATTTACACAGATAAAGCCTGAGATCATAGTACTTGGTAGGCTACTCCCTGAACTTTCTATTTGCTCATTTAATTAAATATTATTTTCCATTAAAAAGCTTCATAGTTGACAGTTAAGCAAGAAAAACAAAAAGAACGAAATGGTTTTTTAAGAATAATCTGAGGATGGTGATGGTTTTGATGGAAAGTACCTGGAATTTGAGAATTCATAGAGCTTCCCTTTTGGAGAGAAGATGATAAGTGCAACTTCAGCATCACATAGAACTGATAACTCAAAGGCCTTCTTGAGAAGCCCACTTCTGCGCTTAGAGAAAGTAACTTGCCTACTTGTTGCATTTTCTATCCTTTTCATCTGAGTTTTCCCTCTCACCATTCTTTCAAGAAAATGAAAGAAAATTCCCAAGAAAATAAAAACCAAGGTGAGAAAAAACTTTAAAATAAAGACCCAGAAAGAGTTTCCAAAAATAGAAAGGGAGATTAGGAGAATAAGGTTAATCTCAGCCCAAAAAAGGAAAACCTTTTTTTGGGTTTTGCAGATCTGGTAAGATGGAGATCTCAGGAGAAAGATTGATGGGGAAGATTTTTCTTGGTGGGTAGGAAAATACAAGTCAGAAACCCTAGAAAGATTTTCAAAGGAAAATAGGGGAAGAAGACTGATGATGTTCAACTACTGTTTTGAAACCCTAGAAAATGTATATAAATACAGAAATGAATGATTGAAAGAGAGCCAAAGGAGGACCCAAAAACCTCATCTCTTTTCTTCTTTTGGTAAAACTCTCAAGAAACAGCCAGCCAAAAGAAGGAACACTTCAACAAAAGTGGAGGAGAGAATGAATTGCAAACACATCAGAGTCCATTACTACATTTGTCATTTGGAGGACCACTAAGAGCACAGAAATTCCATACAACCGGCATGGATTTGTGACACGTGGAGTATAGTTCAAGAATAATACTATATGCACTCATTAGTGTACTAACTAGTGTACCAATCAATAATGTGACACAATTTGAGAGGTTTTTTGTATTTGTAATTTACTTAATAAGTGGGATCAATAATAATGTTATAATTAGTATTAATACACTAGTTAGTGCATGTAGCATCACCGATAGTTTAAACATATACTTGTCGATTGCCAGTTATGCAAAAATTATTACATAAATCCGCCTCATATCCTACATAATATGTATTTGCAATTCTATTAGTTACATATTCATTAGTTTTAAGGAGACTTACGTGTAAGTCTTACTAAGTAAACATATGTATTTATTATTGGTATTTGACAATTTACTTGATAATCTTTTGATTATGTTGCATTGGATTGTTATTCAAAAAAAAATATTGACAAGTTAGTGTATTATGTTTAAAATTTGAAAAAATTAAAATGGCCAAACCGATTCACATTTGTCAGCCAATCCACTTAATCCTTATCCGCCAATCTGACGGACAGATGTAGACTGATTTTTTTCAATCCGCCAATCCGACGAATGGATAGCAGATTGTAGATTCCCCAGCGAACTATTTAATTTGATTTTTTTAAAAAAAAATAACAAAATTAAATCTTATATTTTTCACATAAAAATATCAAATATCAACACTTACCATTTCATAAAAAAATTTCTAAATTGAAAACACAACAGAATATCTAAACTCTATTTCAATTGAAAACATAAACAGAATATCTAAACAAATTAAAAATACAAAATCTTATAAATTACTAGAGGTGCTCGCGGTTTGGATGTTCGATTGCGGCCAAATGAACCTCAAATCCGTCATCCGTCCAAAATTAAGCTAATTGAAAAAAAAATCAATCTGTAATCGTTCGCTTATCATCACGCATCTGTCCAAAATGCTACAGATTGAAATATCCGTTGAATACATCTAATAGTTAACAGTATTTTTCATTATACATTATTACAAAATATCACTAATTATTAATTTTCAGCGATAATTTAAAAATTGTCACAAAAAATGTTACTTATTATAAGTTTCGTGCCAGTTTAAAAAAATCATCACAAAAAAGTCATTAATTTTTAACTTTCAGTGACAGTTTAAAAAATTATTCATAGAAAAAGTTGCTAATTATAAGTTTTAGTGACAATTTATAAAAATTGTGATAAAAAAATCACTAATTATTAATTTTTAACAATATATATTGACATGGACAGGCCCACGAGGCATACAGCCCACGGCAAACTGCCCCGAACCCATCGCTTTGGACCCATAGCATAACTTGATTGGCAAAGCCCAGGACAGCTGGAGTCCACCTGGACGTGGAGGGCCAAGGACATTCAGACACATGACAGATGAGACACAGGCCACATCAGCAGACAAAGATCTGCAGAGTTATTGCCACAACACATCACCATTAATGCAGCCCATCACAGCATTTATTACGACAACACCTCCCCGTCGGAACAGAGCCCCCTCACCCTGAACAAGGTAAGCTACGGCACAGGCTTTCGGCGGAAAGGGGGCACATCACAAAGGACCGTGAAATGATTACCAAAGGATATAAGCAACAAGAGAAGCACAAGAATAAGGTTAAGCTTTTTATCTCTCCATCTTCTTCCCTACATCTTCTTGTTTTCTCTACTAATTCTCTCGCCGGAGGGTTCACTGGGGGACTGCCCCGTTCCCCTTTGGACTTGCTTGCAGGTCATTTGACGGAATCACCACCCGAAACCGGAACTTGAAGAACCTGAGCCAGCCTGGCCCATCCACCCGGGACGGACTGTATTATCAGTTGGCGCCGTCTGTGGGAAACTTTGTGGTTTATTCGTGCGCTAGTTGTGTTCACTATCGCCAGAGCCCTCTCTTCTCACCGTTACCTTTTCCTCTCACCCGTCCAGGTGTATGGTCACGACTAGGTCCATGGCTTCTCACCATAATACCACCGATCACCAAACAGACCCTTCCCATCCAAACAACCCACCACAATACATCATCGAACTTACTAACAGCATTAACCGCATCGCCGAGCAAAACCAGGCCCTGATCAGCGCCTTACTCCAAAGAAACCTCCCCGCCCCACCTCCAGACATTCCACCCAACCAAGAAAGAACCCCGGGCCACACTGCTCCACAACCCCCTGCGCCCAACCCAGAAAGTTTACAACCCCCTACCCCTCCACATATGAGCCTACCACCTCCACCTCCACCTCCACGACCGTCAATCGTGGCACTCGCCCCTGAGGGGGAAGCCAGCAGTGTCCAGCCTCCATTGACCGACCATGGCGACAACATTCCCCTCTGGGACGCTGAACTCCGAGCTATGAAGCTCCAACTACAAGGGGTCATGCAGAACATTCAGCACAAGCCCTCAGTCATCGCCAACTCTTCTTTTGTTGCCTCCATCCGCGACAAACCATTGCCTGCCAAGTTCAAAATGCCCACCATTGACTCCTTTGATGGCACGACGGACCCAGTCGGCCATCTGGAAACCTACCGCACCCTCATGATCCTCCACGCTTTTCCTGACGAGATCATGTACCGAGCTTTTCCAGTGACACTGAAGGGATCAACTCGGTTGTGGTTTAACCAGTTACCGGCGGACTCCGTCTCCACCTTTCAACACCTCAATGACTCTTTCCTGAGCCATTTTATCGGAGCCCAGCGTCAGAGACGCCCAGCCACCCAACTCCTTAACATTCGTCAGACTGAGGGGGAGTCGCTCCGCAGCTTCGTCACCCGCTTCAACACCGAAGCCCTTCAAGTAGCTGAGAATGACGACAAGGTCATTCTCACGGCTTTCATGGCCGGCCTGCGGTCGTCTGATTTTCTTTTTTCCCTCTCCAAAAACCCTTCAACCACCATAGCAGCCCTACTATCCAAAGCCCAGAGATACATGAATGCTGAAGACTCCCTGGCCGCTCGGCAAGAGCCGACCCCTAAAAATCCGACCCCTAGAGACAAGAGGAAAGACTCCGAACCAAGAACCGCCCAGTATAATAACCAAACACCCCACTATAATGTCCGACCCCCCCGTGCCGATCGGACGACTCCGACCAGACCGTCGGGTCGGTTTGAGCGATACACACCTCTCAATTCCCCTATGGAGCATGTCCTCAATCAGATCCAACGGGACTATCCCCTCAAGTGGCCCCTACCTTCACGAAACCCTTCCACTCGAAAAGATCAGTCCAAATGCTGCCGCTTCCACCAAGACCATGGTCATACCACCGACGAGTGTATTAACCTCAAAGATCAGATTGAGACCTTCATACGCCAGGGCCGCCTCAGCCGATTCACAGATAGCCGCCCTCCACAGAGACAAAGAACCGACCTCACCAGGAACAATCACCGACAAACACCACCCCGCAACCAAGGCCCACCTAACCAAGGCCACGATCGCCCACCACCACAGCCTCGGCCTCCTGGTAATCCCCCTCCACCAGTTGGAGAAATCCGAGTTATTTCAGGCGGTCTTACTTGCGGGGGACCATCCCGCTCGGCTCAGAAGGCAGAACTCAGAAAAATTAGGCAGGGCTCAGACAAAGCAGTGACGACGGTGGACCGACCTCCCAAACAGTCCAAACAATGGATCGAGCCTATCACCTTCACCGACATTGACTGTACGAGGGTCCGTTACCCACATGATGACCCCCTTGTCATTTCCGCCATCCTCTCCAACTACAAAGTCAGACGAGTCCTCGTAGACAACGGCAGCTCTTCAGACATTATCTTCCTCAATTGCTTCCGCTAGCTCCAGATTGGGGAAGAAAGCTTGTCTCCTCTCCAAACCCCTCTGGTCGGCTTCACCGGCGACCGTGTGACCTCCATCGGCTCCATCGATCTGCCCATCACCATTGGCGAGCACCCGCGGCAGACCACTAAGTTGCTCATCTTTCTTGTGGTCGACTGCCCCTCTGCCTACAACATTATCCTTGGCCGCACAGCCCTCAACGCCTTCCAAGCCATCACATCTACATATCACCTTGCCATCAAATTTCCTACCGATCTCGGTGTCGAAACTGTCAAAAGAGAACAGACCGTGGCCAGGGAGTGTTATGTCGCCTCACTCAAAGAAGTCAAGCTCAAAGAGGCCATGATCATTGAAAGGCTTGACGTCCGAGACGAGGACGAGCTCGTCAGAGGTGAACCTGTAGAGGAACTCGTTGAAGTTAACATCGATCCCACCAACCCAATCAAAACCGCCAAGATTGGCAGCCAATTACCTTCCCAAGTCAAGGCCGACCTTACTGCTCTCCTGACCGAGCACAGAGATGTATTCGCCTGGACCCATTCTGACATGCCAGGTATCGACCCCTCCTTCATAACTCATCGCCTCAGCATTGAACCCCACTTTCGACCCCACCGCCAGAAGCAACGCATTTTCCATCCGGAGCGCAACACCCTCATAGCCGCCAAAGTTGATAAACTCCTCGAGGCCCAATTCATCAAAAATGTGGACTATCCTAGGTAGTTATCCAACGTGGTCCTCGTCCGCAAACACAATTGCAAATGGTGGCTCTGTGTCGACTACTCTGACCTGAACCGAGCTTGCCCCAAAGACAGCTACCTCCTTCCCCGCATAGATCTGCTGGTCGACGCCACGGTCGGTCATGAAATGCTCAGCTTCATGGATGCCTTCTCTGGGTACAACCAAATCTTGATGCACACATCCGACCAGGAGCACACATCATTTATTACCGACCGAGGTACCTACCACTACTGTGTAATGCCGTTCGAATTGAAGAATGCTAGGGCCACTTATCAGCGGCTGGTTAACGCCGTTTTCCATCACCAAATAGGTCGGAATATGGAAGTCTACGTCGACGACATGCTAGTCAAAAGCAAATACCGTTCTCTTCTGAAAATCATCAAAACCAAG